GTTTCAATGGAAGACTTTTTTGCTACATCAATGATTTCTATTCATATAAGCTGGCAAGTTTGTTTTACTGGGAAACATGTTTCAAGTTCTTTTCCTGAAATATATTTCACCAGAGCAGAGAATTATTCTATGGGAGTGCTGTATTTCAAGAACCATTTTGTGACAGAAAGCTATCTTGCTTCACTTTGCATGTCGAATGGAACATACTATACAACATAACTGTAGTCTAAACTAGGATTTGGGAAATTCTTTTGTTCAAGGGCCAGATCCCACCTCTGCCTTTGTAGGTGTAGATGGCAAGTCTGCAGGCCAGACAGCACGGTGCCCTTGGACATTGCCAGCTTGTCAGCAAGGAGGCTGTTGATAAGCCTTTACTGCCACCTAGGACATTCACCCATACACGGCCCTCGGCTGAGATATGGCGCTGGTAATCTGCCGCACATTTGCCTGTCTATTCATGGCTCAGGGGCTGTATAAAAACAAATGGCAGGTCAGATTTAGCCTATGGGTCAGAATTTGAAGAAATAAAGCCTTAAAGTTTGGTATCAATATATTTATTACACAGTTTAAATATAAGTTGGAAACTTGTCTTGGTGCATTCCCTCAAACAGAGCACCTTGACATATCAATAAATTGTTGTATGCCCCATTCATCTTGTCCTAATTGTTTTTAACTATACATTTCCTGCATAGGTTTTGGCATCAAGACTTTCTAGTTCTACATGATTGATTGGTTTGCCTAGTTCTTCATGATCTTGACTATTAAGGAGTTAGTAATAGTATAACATTGAGTGACACTGTTTTTGTGTGCTTATTAGTTTCAGAAGTGTCTTTGTGTAAGACGAGCAGATTCTATACAATCTAACAGCAAAAGGATGCACCAATAACCCAACTTGAAAAAAATAGGGTGTATGAGGTGACTGAGACCAGAAGATTGACATTCTCAGTAGTATCCCACTACCTCTGGAAAAACTTTCTTACTAAGCAGAGGTATATTCCTACTCCAATGTTTCAGAATATAATAAACAGTCCTCTTTAAGACAGCATACTGATGGGGCTTCCGGTTTGCGACTGCGGTGCTGGCAGACGTGCGGGGCGATCACTCTGCCGTCCAGTTTTCTCCTGCCGGGGGACCCTGAAGAGGGTCGAAAGTCGCCTTGTAGGGACGATGAGCACAAAGAGGACCCCCAAGTGATTGCGGAAGGGCGGCAGCCCTCCTGTTTGAGGAGGACGGGGAAAAGATCAACCATCAACATGGCCCATCATTAAGCTGCTGACAGCCGAGGCCAAATTCACTAACAAGCAGCTTGAAAGCAACATGGAGGAATTGGGTGAGATTTTACCTTCTCTGTACCCCAAGTATTTTTCTTATTAAAAGCTTCCTGAAAACTTTTCCCCTAGCAAGGAGAGAGGGAAGAGAATTTTTTTTCCTCCCACCCTCTAAAATAGCAGTGTCTGACTACCTGGGGAAATAAAGCACTGAAAAGAACTTAATATAATTGGGCTTACGTCCTTTGGGAATTTGGGGACCCAAAAGATTCCTACTCTTACGGGGACCTCCTATTTATTTACTTGTAAAAAAGAAGAAAAAGAACTTAAATTGGATAAAAACGTAGCCTGGGATTTGAAAAAGACTTTAAATGCTATCGGGGACATCTTGTGGCGAAGCTTGGTACAGCAATTTATTATTTTTGACAAACAGACTTGCTCATAGCCCAGATCTGACCTTGGTATTATCTAAGAGAGATTAAAAACTGAGAGAGCAGCTGGGCAGTGAACTTGGTTTTTAGGAACTGTGAAAGTGAACACTTACTGACTCTTGTTTAATAAATAGCCTTCACTAAAAGACCATCTATAACCATGTCAGAAATGGAGGAGGAGCAGCAAAAAACTTCAGCTATGTTTAAACTTATACTTGAAAAAATTCTTGAAGCCACCGAGATAATCAAATCTAGACTGAAAGACCAAGGTGCCAGCTTAAATCTACAAAGCGGAACCCTGATTGCAACTACAATCCAAAAAACAACAGATGTGGAGGAAATTAGTACCAAGACAGAGGGCCTTAAAGATCAACAAGTACAGTTCACTGAAAATCCAGACAATGAAACAACAATTTTAAAAATGGAAATGATTTTCTACATAAATCAGAAGAAACCTGAGAAAGAAGACCAGATCGAATGGAAGATAACGATACCAGAGTAAATATGGGGATCTGGGCCACCAGGGCGACAACTTAATGATTATAAATGGGCCAGTTCTTCCAGAAAATTGGCAACTAGATGGTCTCCTTTAATTCAAGTAACATACACAAGAATGAAGGAAGATCTATTCGATGATTTAAAAGGATTGGTATGGAAGCCTGATTGGCATAAGAAGAAAGCTAGAATTAGGTTGAAAAAACAGGGTCTTTTGATTTATTAGACAGGATCCTAAACTGCCAACCAGTGAGCTAAAGGGAGACTTTGAGATAAGGGGAAATTTGATTATTAGATTTAAAATAGTTGGAAAATAGTAAAAAATAAGGGATTAATCTGTTTAATACTAAGGACTTAGACTTACAAGGGAAATGAAACTATTAGGAAATAGGTTTGAACTATTGATTAGCCCAGATAATATAGATGATGGACTATCTATACTCGATTATTAAGGTGGTAATGTACTAGGGTGAAAAATAGAAAACGTTTACGAAATAGAAGAATATATTTAAGTAATATGTGCATTTTAGATATTATAATTTTTACGAAGTGAAACAAAGGAAATTTGGGTTACCCGAAACTCAAATACTATGGATATTAAAGTTTAAATTGGAGTATTGTAATTAAAAACTAAAAATTAGGTAAAACTTAATAACAGGATATGGATTATTTATGAAGATTTATTAAGATATGTATAAGCAAAAAATGTATTGATAAATGTGATAATGAAGTTTTCACTGAATTTGGTACAATTAGAAATTTACTAGCTTAAATACAATATAGCAAATGTTAAGGGAAACAGAGTAGAAATATTTGATGATGTAACGAGATATGTACTAAAGATTTTGTTATTGAACTATTGATTAACCCAATCACCACGTTGCCTTCCAAATACTCAAATGTAAGACTGGAAAACCAATAAAATATTATTTTAAAAAAAGACAGCATACTGACTTGTTTGATAGCTGCTATAGATTTACAGTTTTTTCCTCATGTGTTGCAAGTTGCTTAGAATAAAACAAGTAGGTGGCAAATCAGTTTGAGACATCACACGTGGTTGTATCTATTTTATCTGCTCCGTTCCTGCTTTCCCTTAGAGAATATAAGTAGTCCTCAAATTACAACAATTGAGCCCAAAATTTCTGTTGCTAAGCGAGACAGTCAAGTGAGTTTTGTCCTGTTTTACAACCTTGCCACAGTTAAGTAAATCCTGTTATTAGTAATGTTAAGTGAATCTGATTTCCCCATTGATTTTGCTTGCCAGAAGGTAACAAAAGGGGATCACACGATCCTGGGACACTGCAACCATCATAAATATATGCCAGTTACCTAGTGCCTGCCCATGAGGATGCTTCAGTGATAAGTGTGAAAAATGGTCATAAATAATTTTTTTTCAGTGCCATTGTAACTTCAAATGGTTGCTAAACAAATGGTTTTAAATTGAGGACTATGTATATCAGACATGTCAAACTCGCGACATCACATGATGTCACGCAACGTATCGGGATGGTTTTGCCATTACCGGCAATGGGATGGCTGAGGCTTCCGGATGATGCATCCGGCTCATGGGCTGGCAGTTTGACACCCTTGATGTATATAGTAGAACTTTTTTAAAATGGGATTCACCTTTTACGATCTTCTCACAAGCAAAATTCAATGGGAAGCTAGATTCAGTTTACAACTGTGTTACTAACTAAATAATTGCAGTAATTCACTTAACAACTGTGGCAAGAAAGGTCATAAGATGGGGCAAAATTCATTTGGCAACTATCTCACTTAGCAACAGAAATTTTGGGCTCAATTGTCGTAAGTTGACAACTATAAAGTCTGAAGTCAATTCATAAAATTATTCCAAAAGAATGAGTTGAATTAGTCAACTCAGATTAGGGTTTTTATAGATCTCAGAAGACAAAGAACATTTATGATAAAAAAAATCTAGTCTCAAGAAACAGAGGTTGCTAATATCCCACAGCAGAAAAAAATCAAGATGCCAAATGTTCTTGGATCCCCTAGGCCAGTGATGGCAAACCTTTTAGAGACCGAGTGCCCAAACTGCAACCCAAAACCCACTTATTTATCACCGGGTGCCAGGTGGGCGTGGCCCACTGGGTGGGCGTCGCTGTGGTGGTCATAGCAGACTGGGTGGGTGTGGCCAAGGTGGGCATGATCACCTCAATGTTGCTCATGGGGAGGGATGCCTGTGGGGGCCAGGTAGGGTGGGGGGTCTCTGGAAGGTGGGACGGTGGGCAGGAGGCTCGTCCTGCTGGGTGAGGCGAGGCAAGGCAAGGGTGCCATTGTCACAGAGCAAGGCGAGGCAGGGGCTGGGGTGGCTGCTGCCTGACACCATCAGTCGCTGCACACAGAGGCCAGTGAGTGCATGGGTGCTGGGATGCATCTGGCCATGTGGGGGCAAGTTAGTGGGCCGCTGGTTGAAGAGGGACGGTTGCCATCTCCAGGGCATGGCATGCGTGCCCACAGAGAGGGCTCTGAGTGCCGCCTCTGGCACATGTGCCATAGGTTCGCCATCACTGCCTAGGCTTCAAATCTCTTTCATGACTGAAAGTAACTCCATTTGAGATTCAAATCAATCTCTTTTCAACTATGGAAATTTCAATACAAATGTAAACTATACACTAAGGCCACAAATTCATTCCAATATTCATAAAATTCATATTGGCAAATCCTAATATAATTGAACTTAAGTCCATAAAAGAAAGTTTTTAGCCGCCTCTTCTGCCACATTCCACATTGTCCAGAAGACCCTTTTCCAACTCCTAGGTGAAGTGAAGTGAAGAGACAGGAAATGCTCTGTCCATGAACTTCTTTATATTAGTTTTTCTTAGAATTCAAGCCTTTGCCTACATAGCACACATTACATGTCCATAAGGTAGCAACATACAATTTACGGGATACAGTAAATTCTTACATAGACACTATGGCTATGTAAAAAGCAACCATTAGAAATTGTTTATAATATAAGTTCTATAAAATAAAATTCCCATAAAATGTATCATGCATAAAATTGCCCCACTTTTCACAGCAGAGTTCCAGATAAAATCCAGAACCTGAAAATATGATTTATAATGTAGACTACAAATAAGAACTTCATTCTGTGTTGTAAAGCAGAAAAAGAGGTGCACAATTCAATTTAAAAAAGTAACTGAACTGGCTTTCATGGGAATAAATCCTATTAAGATTAATGGAACATCCCCAGGAATAGCAAACTAAACGAATCAAAGAGCAAGACCAAAAGATGCATTCAACTTCATCAAGGAAATATTATCCATCCAAAAATTATCAGACAAAGCAAAGTCTTGTTATTCAGGTCTGATGTCATACATCATCAGTTCTCTTGTTCTACAGTTTAAGAAAATGCTTATTAAGCATCTACCATGTCTAGCAATGCAGACATGTGGAATTCACAAGCTATTTCTTCTTCTTTATTAACTTTAATCAGTTCTTTCAGGGATGCCAGTCTGCTGAATAAAGAGGTATCTCTGTCTCTCCTTTCTGTCCCAACCTGAATAGAGAGAAGCAAAAACATTTTCAAAATCAAAGTACATAAACAGTAATAAAAAGTGACAAATACCTAGAGACTTGAACAGGATATAATGGTTGTAAGAAACCTGGGCTATATATGTTGGATCAACCCAGTTAATCCTAATATTCCCAAACATGCTGAGTATTTTTTGCAATCAAACAAATGTAAGAAAAAATAATTTCAGCTGCTTTTGATGAGCACAGAAAATACGGAACTAAGGAAGCAGGAATCCTAAATCAACAATTTGTTCCATTATAATGGTTGATTGCATAATCAGCCAGATATTTAGACTGGATTTGGCAAAGACAGAGATTGTTGTTTAATAATATTAAAGCTATTCTTGCAGGATGTTGTTATTATAGTTCAGTGATGGCGAATCTTTTAGAGACCGAGTGTCCAAAAACTGCCCCCGCTCTGCCTCCCGCCCTGCCTGCTCCGGCCCTGCCTACCCGCAGGGCTATGCACCGCCTCCATGGCCTGCCACAACAGATTGCCGAGGCAGCCCTGCAGCACCATGGAAGCCACACCCTCCGCCCACACCCCGCAGCATCATCTGCACACTATGGGGTGCAAGGGCAGAGTCTTGTTCTTGCTGCCTGGCTATGTCTTTAGCTGCGCTGCTCCGTGCAGGCCGTGCCTGGGGGCAACTCTCCTCCAGGGGGGGCTGCTGGTGAGGAGGGGACTGTGGGCGGAGGCAGGGCTTGGCACGCATGCCCACAGAGAGGACTCCGATTGCTACCTCTGGCACGCATGGCATAGGTTCGCCACCACTGTTATAGTTGGTCACACAATTAACCAGATATTAAAAGTGGATGTGGCATTTTTATCCATCTACAGAGTCCTTCCCAAGGACCTGGGTTAGGCAGAAGTTGAATGTTTGATGGTGTTAAAGGTATTGCCACAGGAAGTTAGCAGTTCCAAGTTAAGCTGCCTTTTGCAATTGACTGATGGTGATTTTGTCAATGCCAATAGTGTTCAAATGATGTTCCAGTTCTTTTGGGAATGCACTCAAGGTGCCTATTACTATTGGTATTATCTTTGCTTTCTTTTGCCACAGTCATTCTATCCATCCTAAAATGTTATTAATATTGATTATATTATATTAATATTAATTACATACTACAATGCTCATTAATACTACATAAATATTAGTTCAATGAAATCTGCATGAAATAATACAATGCATCAAGACCTAAATATTACAATAAAGGAAAAAATATACCCATTAACCAAAAAAAGTGAGAAAAAAATTGACCCTAAGTAGTAGAGAATGCCAACATTTCAGCCAACCACCATACCTTTTTTACACATTGCCATATCCTGTATTAGTACAATGCCTAAATAAGATTTTAACTGGAAACTAAGCTTGATCAAATGTCTAAAATAAATCATATTTGGATTAGGGAAATACATTAAAAATTACTATGAATGGTGAGGTCAAAAAGATTAAGACAGTTATTGTGGCAGCATTATTCAAGCCCTATCCTTTTTTAATGTGTGTGAAACACCAACTCATATAAAACATGTGGGACATCAATTGTTATGCTGTTATGGCTATCTTGACATTTTACTCTGCCTGGGGATGTGCTGACTACTAAATAATATAAGCTATCATAAAAAATGCAATTCTATTTCTAGAATATAGAAATGTGCTTGGATTATGTCACAATTTTATATGATTTTACATTATGTTGATTCCCACATCTTTCCCAAATAAGTCAACCATCAAGTATTAATTGACAAGAACAGCACTATGGATTAAATACAGTGGCTTCACCTGATCTATGAGATTGCTCTTGCAGGTCACATCCAACTCAAATCTGGTGGTTTTGATGCAGCCACAATACAAGGCCTAATCATAGCAGTTCCACTGGAATAAAAGTGCCAGGTTTACAGTTTGCTGGGGATATGTAAGAAGCTGATTGGGCAGAAATTAATGTTATTGTTTTTGGCTCCTTCCTGTAACTGACTTACACCAGTTCTCAAAAATAGGAAGAGGGTGGTTAAGGGAAGTGAATAGAGTCCAATATTGCAGCCCACCACCATTATATTTTAATTTATAGGTTACCTCTGGACTTCTTGATTTTGGAATTCTGACGAATGGTTGAATAATCTGAGGCATAGATACTAAAGATTCAGGAAGATAAAGAGGCAAAGACAAGGTGTCCTGGAGTGTCTCAGAATCTTTAACTAACAACCGCTGCAGTTGTTCATCAAATCTAGACAAAACAAAATGAAACATATAAACAAAAAATTGATTACTTCCCATGACAGTTCAACAGAGGTTCAAAAAGATTAATAATGAATTTAGACCATCATCATCATCCCAAAAAGGCAAAGATCACATGACATTTAAAAATAGATATTTAAAATTTAGCATCCTGCAACCTAACCTTCAATGGCCAAGAATAAAAAAGAGACCAAAAAAGGAAATTGATATGAAAGGATGCAGCAATCCTAAAAAACTGAATCACACAAACAAGGGTATGGTTTAAGTTTTCTCCCTCAACAAAGAAACCAAAACCAAAATGACCAATGAATTGGCAATAAAACCCTACACCATACATCATATAACTCTTCTTCAAAATAAAATCTATGGCTAAGCTAAGGAATTTACTGGAGTTAATCAAATAATCACCCTTCAAATCTGTAGAAAAATGGTAATAGTAGGTGATGTAGCGAATGTAGCAGTGGAACTTGTAATGAAAGACCTGCAGGAGTCATCTAAGCCAAGAAGATGCAAGCCAGCTTGCTGGACACCAAAGCTGTCTTTGGAATTAGGATGAAAGAAAACAGCATTTGTTTGTTTGACAACATTTTTATCTACGTTCAGTCAATGCCATCAAAGAAAACAGACTGTCTGGGATAAAAGGAGAGAAGATTTCAGTTTCTCCATGCAGCTGAGCCCACAGTTTATTAGAAATAAATGATAGTGAGGACAATTAACCAGTGAAACAGCTTGCCTTCAGAAATTGTGGGCGCTCTATCACTGGAGATTTTAAAGAAGCGACTAGACAGTCACTTGTCTGAAATGGTATAGGTTCTCCTGCTTGAGCAGGGGGCTGGACTAGAAGACCTCCAAGGTCCCTTCCAACTCTATTCTATTCTATTCTATTCTATTCTATTCTATTTTATTCTATTCTGTTCTACTCAATCTTCAATCACTGTAGAAAGAAAGAGCATCCATTTAAAGAGATTCTGCTGCTCAGTGGGACTGCCACTAGGAACACAGGTTTTGGTAGCATGGAGGAATTTATGCCAAAGTGCTTGGATAAGAATTTACAACACTAGCTGTAGATTCTATGATGTGAAATAATGCAAACGAGAAATGAGTAAGGATGTTTTTCTGGAGAATACTGTTGAATCACACATGTGAATTTCAGAGTTTGGAGAGCATTAAAAACATGGATGAAATATATTAGTTCAACCACTAATCAGGAGCTAATAGGATAGGAAAATACTTCTTGAGACCCACTTCTGTACATTAAACAGCTTGGGAAGGGAGGTTACCAGATTTTCTTGTGTTAATGCAGTGCAATATTTCTTGCGGTCAATAGCAAGACGTCGCAATTTTGCCCTGCTGGGGACCCTACAAAGGGTCGAAAGTCGCCCCAAAGAAGTGACGAAGAAGGAGGGGACCCTCATCGATCACGAAAAGGTGGTGGCCCCTCTGCTGGATCCAAGGAAGCCCTCCAAACCAGCGAGGGTAAGACTGGCTACATTTGTGTAGCCTGTCAGAAGCTGCTGACAATCGAATACAAGCACTAACCAGCAATTTCTGACCAACATGGATGGAACTGGATAAAACTTTATCCTCTCTTTATGGCCCTAACACTACTTTCCTGGAAAAAAGAATACCCAAAGCAAAGAATCCTTCCCGATGAGACAGGGAAAGGAAGTTATTGCCTTGCTCCCTCAGGAAAAGAAAAGCTGTGAATTAATTGCTTTGGGGAAAAACAGAGGAAACTACAAGATCAATTTGGAACTAATACAGATCTATAGCTTTGAAATTCGGGACTAAAAGTACCTTTGAGACTTTTTTTTAGAAAAAGTATTTGAAAGTTTGCAAAATAAGCTTGGATTTGGAAAGCTGGAAGACGGTGTCAACGACATCTAGTGGAGAATCATGGCACTACAATTTATTATGCTTAAGGGAAACTTGGCTTGAAGCCCAGACTCAGATAAGACTCTTTGTTGTTCATGGACACTTTCACTTTTGCAGACTGCAACTGGGAAAAGGGAAAAACAAAAACTCTTGGGCTGCTTATCTTGATTGGGGACCTTATTGGACTATAAAGACTACATACAAAAACAAAATGAGTGTTCCATTCTCATCCTTAAATGGTAAAAAATCATCTTTAACACCTGTCTCCAAAGCTCCCAGCTTGATATATCAACAAGAAAATGTTAATGAATCTCAGAAAGAAATTATTTCCAAGTTGAAATCAATCCAAGAGACAATTGCTTTATTTCAGGATGAGACTAAAAATAATGCAAATGAGATAAAAGAACAATTTTCTAACCTAAACTTACAAATCCAGACAATGACTGCAAAGAAGGAACTAATGACCCAGAAAACAGAAGGAAAACTAGAAGAAATGGATCCAAAGATGGAGGACCTAAAGGAAGGAATTAACAGACAGATACAGACAAATGAAAAATTAGTGATAATACTGGAAATGGAAAAGGCATCATACTTGTCAAGATGTCAGAACACATTTGAGGATAAGGAAGAAGAGCTGATCGAATGGATGGTAAAGCTGTTGGAAGAAATGCTGAATTTTGACAAACAAGAAATGAAAAGAAAAACTGAAGGAGAAGGATGGAGGCTGTTTAATGAATATAAATGGGTTGAGCGTTCTTCCAAAAACACTTCAACCAAATTCTTTTCCTCATTCCAAATAATATATACAAAAATAGAGGAAGACCTACTTGATGATTTAAATGTACTGACTTGGAAAGTTATTTGGCAAAAGAAGAAAGCTAGAGTAAGACTGAAGAAAATTGAGGTTTTGACCTATTAGATGGGATATTATACTACTACACAGATGTTTGAATATGGCTAAGAAAATAGGTAACTGTTAGAAATAATAGTATTATTATAATTATAATTGTAACTAGAATATTATACTTTTTATGAGATGGGAAATATGAAAATTCTAAAAGAGTTTGAAGCTTTTGATTACCCAAATATAATTTATTATGAGAAAACTATAAGCGATAGATATATTTTGAATATTGATGGGAAATTAAAATTTTAAAAAAGTAAGAAAAACAGGATATTGATTGAATAAATTGATTTTAAGTGCAAATGCAATTGAGACGTATTTTGGCTAGAAAAGATATTATAAATTGATACTATTGATATTATATATAATACTATAAAAATGTGATGAAGATGTCTATATTTAACTGTATATGTATTAACAGTAACAAGAATTGTATTTGCCCAGTATGGAAAAACGCATACTATCAGAAAAAGAGATGACCAAGGAAGCACCGGATGGTGTAGTATTGGATTAGACTAAGAAAGTTAATATGTACCAATGAATTACTAATAGACCCAGACAACACATTGCTTATTAAGTACTTGTAAAATTAGAAAATTAATAAAATATTTATAAAAAATATATTGAGATTCTGTTCTCTAAATCTCAATTATACTTGGCAGGATTTAATTATAGTTGGCAGGATGAAGTTACAAAACTAGAGTTAAACTGCATTAACTGAAAGAAATCAGCCCATAGGAAATACAGCTAATGAAGCAACTGCTGAGAATTATGGCTAAATGAAATCTTGGCCTAAAGGAAAAATGGGACTCTCCCTTGTTCTTTGAAAAGGCTGGGGAGGGGGGAACCTGCTTTCACACTTGCAAGATTCAACTACTGTAACCTTACAATAAAAGTAGTATCGGTACTCATGGCTTTGATTTCCTGTCTGAACTATCTCGAAGAACTGATATACAAACAACTAATATTTGGAGATTTAGAGATCTGCTCAGAAGAATTGAGGTCACCAAAAATTAAGTTTAAAAGATAAAATCTCGAGGAAAATAGAAAGTGAATTCAAATGGAAGTTTCATTAGGACTTTGAAAATGTATAGTTTGAAAGAACATAATGACAGAAGTATTCAACATACTCCTCTAAGGAATCTGTAGACTTTCCAAGTCTAGATCAGGCTAGAGGGCAGTTCAATCAATGTATATAAAGTATGTTAAGTCTGAGTTTAAAATATGTTATGTTTAACCCACTATGTAGGAGAAATATCTATGCCTGTGGAATCAAACTATATTACACCTGTACCACTGGAAAATGGGCCGTTAGGTGTTTCATAAATTTGATGGAGAGCTTGAAATTTCATTAAAGAGAAATCCAACCTGGAACTAAGATGTTTTCTGACAGCAAGAACAATTAATCAGTGGAACAGCTTGCCTTCCAGAGTTGTGGGTGCTTTATTGCTGGAGATTTTCAAGAAAATATTGGACATCTATTTATCCATGATGGTACAAGGTCTCCTACCTTGGCAGGGTGTTGAACTAGAAGACCTCCAAGGTCCCTTCCAGCCCTATGATTCTGTTTCCATGGTTTTTCTAGATTTTTTAATTTTACCTTTATTCTATTTTTTTTTTTACAAATAACATCAGTCAACAAAAACATGCACAACATTCTTCCTCCTATTTTCCCCACACAAGAACCCTGTACATTGAGCTGGGAGACTGACTGGCCCAAAGCTACCCAGCAAGCTTTCATGCTTAAGGTGGGACTAAAATTCATAGTTTTCTGTTTGTCATAAGAGTCTTGATAATCTTGTGATTTATAAATCTCTTAAGTGTGGGAATGTTGCTAAGGCCTCAGACAGTTTGAACCTGACTGTACACCCAAAGTTCTAGGACAATGGTGGCGAACCTATGGCACAGGTGCCAGAGGCGGCACTCGGAGCCCTCTCTGTGGGCACACGTGCCATTGGCCCAGCCTAGCCTCCGCCCGCGACCCCCTCCTCACCAGCAATCCCCCTGGAGGAGAGTTGCCCCCAAGTGTGCCCACATGGAGCAGCGCAGCCAAGGACATGGCAGCCAGGCAGTGTAGTCAAAACTCTGCCCTCACGCCGCAACACAACACAGTTGATGCTGCAGGGTGTGGGCAGATGGCATGGCTCCCATGGCACTGCTGGGCTGCCTGAGCGATCTGCAGTGGGCCCTGGAGGCGGTGAGTGGCCCTGTGGGCAGGCAGGGTGGGGCGGAGTGGGGGTGGGGGTGGGCAGGGGCAGGACCAGGTGAGCAGGGCGGGGCAGAGGGTGGGCAGGGGCAGGACCAGTTTTTGGGCAGTCTTTAAAAGGTTCGCCATCACTGTTCTAGGAGGAGCTGTGCAACTAGATGTCAAGTTTTCAGATGTGTATATATTACGATTTGTTGAGCATCTGATAACCTGAAAAGATGCAGATTGGTATATCTTTCTTTCTCTGTAACTGTAACTCTCTTAAGATTTATTCAATAAAATACTTTTTGGCATTTCACCAAGGATTGAACCTATTATTTTAAATGAAAAATATGCAGTCTTCCAGCTGGCAATACCCTATCATGACAAATATATGACTACTGATGAAAAAGAAGTTCAACATATTATTACAGCCCTCAAGTCTAGGTAACTGAGATTGTGATTTCTTTCTTTCTCCTCTGGCCATACCCCCAAGATTGGGGTACTGGTGACAATACCTTATGAATTGAAATGATGCTCTGGTAGAGAATTTAAAGTAAAACCCCTATCTTATTTCACTTTCTATTTCGCATATACAACCTGTTTCCATTTAATCCAACTAATATGTCACACAGCCAGCACAGACTATTTGTATGAACCCTTTTCACACTTTTCTAATATATATTTTCTCCTTTATCATCTTTCTCAACTTTCCTTCTTCCTTTCATATTATTCTTCCCTTATTCCTCTTGTAATTGATTGATTTGATTTGCTGCCTCCCAACTCTAGCCAACTAGAATATCAGAACTATAATTAAATGAATGAATACTGAATCCCATCATTTTATGTTTTTTTTTCTGTTCTTTCTACCCACTCATATCCCCATTCTTAGTACTTCTCAACATTTGTAAAGAAAGAAATCTTACCTCTTGCTCTCTGCTTTCTCCAACTGTAGCTTAACAGACAGGCACTCTGGCAGAAGATCTGCTTCTGAAACTGCCAGTGTGAGACCTCTACCAGAAATATTGAGCTCCTTGTTGTTTTTAATTTCTTGACTGACACAATGTTCCGTTGGAGATAATAAAGGAGAATACAATTTTGCCATAGTCTTTAATTTAGACCTAGAAGGCAGGAAAACATAGCTGCTATTGTTGTTGCTATTATTATTACAGTTAAACTGTGTATGCCATCCAACTCCCAAAGACTCTGGGCAACTCACAAGTAAAAACATTTAAAAAGAGAGAACAAAATAAAATAATAAACGATGGCAAAGGTTATGAATACCAGAGGGAAGGAAAAAAAAACCCAACCCACGCAATCTAAGAGGCCTTCGTTCACTCACCAAAGGACTGGATGAAGAGTCAGGTTTTTAAGGCCCTTAGAAAGGTAGGTATCCAAATTTCAGGGAAAACCTCATTCCAGAGGGCAAGTGCTGCTACAAAAAAGGCATACTTCTGGGGTCCTGATAGATGTTGTTTAATTGAATTGGCTGGGGAGATACTATGGGAGACAGGCAATCCCACAAGTAAGCAGGCCAACTGCTATGTACGGCTTTACAGGTAACAACTAGCACTTTGAATTACACCTAAAAGCAAATAGGTAACCAGCAAAAGTATTACATGAGCATATTGAGACATTTTAGTATGTTTGTATATCACTAAAATACCAAATTCAGAACAGATAGGTTTTTATTAAGTCTCGCAACATAAAAAGCAGCAGCCTATTTAGAATGATAAGCAATCCAATTCTTTTTTTTTAAAACAAATTTTATTGGTTTTTTAAATTTTTTAAAACAAAGTATTCAGGACACACCGTGATACTGGGGTAATCAAACATCCTGGAACAAAACATATATACATAGTACAATCAATACATCAAGTATTCCCTTTTTTTTTCCCTCTAATAGCATAGTATATTTAAAATATCCAATTCTAGCTTAAATTTATTCAACCTGAATACCGCAATTCAACCTGAATACCGCAATCAAATTAACTTTAAATAAAAACATTTTCAATTCAGATATCCCTTCCAAATACTGTATATTCCGGCATATAAGATGACTTTTGAGAGCGTCGAAAGAGCCTCCGAACTCGGGGGTCGTCTTATACGCCGAGTCGTCTTATACGCTGGAAATAACGTAATTTCCGGCGTATTAGATGACTTTCTAGGCATGCAACTTGGCATCGATCGTCTTATACACCGGAAATACCGGTAGTTTCCGGCGTATAAGACGACTTTCTAGGCATGCGACTCGGCATCGATCATCTTGTGACCCGGCGTCGATCGTCTTGCGACCCGGCATCGAACTAGGGGGTCGTCTTATACGCCAGGTTGCCCTATACGCCGGAATATATGGTATGTTCCACTTAAAATCTCATTTTTAAACAAAAATATTGATCTATCCTAGACATATCTAAATGTATATATCTATCTATCCTATACATGTCTAATCTATCAATTATTCAATCTCTTTAAGCTAACCGAATAATGTCCAACCTTAAATCATTTCAATCCATTGAACAGAATTCAAAGTTCATCCAGTTAGTTATCATAGCTCAGAACATCCCTATTATAAAACAAGCAAGTCATCTTATTTGATTAACATTCAATTAATTATTAATTCAATCCAAGTCTGAAACATCTCTTTACTTCAAACTCATAACCTTAATCCTTACATCAGTCCATAATTCTAGGTTGCCTTTAATCCAATGCCTGAAATTTCAAATTTCATTTTTCAATCTTATTCTAGCTTTCCTCTTCTGCCAGGCAGGTTTCCATAGCAAAGCTTCCCTTCCAGCTGATGAATCTCTTTTTGTTGTTTGTAGTGTCTTTTGATTCGATAAAAACCTTCTTGGTCTCTGCATTGGCTCTCTGTTTCTCTTGTCCATAAGGCCATGTTGCTTCAGAAGTTCAAAACTCAGTCTTTGCTTTTCCTGGTCCTCAAAATCATAGGTTAATTGCTTATAGGGCAAGATAGAATTCTCTTTATTATCAGTTAAGTCCTCATCTTGTATAATCTGTTTTGTAGAGTAGTCAGGTGTAATCTGAAAGTCAGTTTTAAAGTTTAAAGTAGGAATTCTGGCTCTTAATTCTGTAGTAAACTCTTTTATTGTAGTACATATTTCTTCTTTGGCCTCATAGATCTTTTCCAGTATAAGTTTACAGTCTAAATGTGATTGAGGCTTCTCCATTTTAAGAATAGTTGAAGAAAAAATCCTTTTTCTTTTTTTTTTCTTTTTTAGTGGAGGCTACAGTTGAAAAGTATCCAAGCCCACAGATCCCACAGCTGGCTCAGATTATCTTTTCTCTTAAAAAAATAGTTTGAAGGCCAAAACCATCTCATCTCCAAATAGTCAATAATTCCAATATTAACTTTTGACCAGTAGATGTCCTCAGTAAGCTAACAAAACTTTTTCAAACGCCATTTTTTCCTTTTTTCTATTTTTTAAGGAAAGAATGGAAAAATAAATACTCTACCCATATAATACCGCTCCAAAAAGAAAAACAATAAACAAAGGAGATAAAATATAGTCTTTAAGAAGGTTTTAATTTGTCCTTTTGTAAAACGTCTTTGTTCCCACACATACAAAAGCTGCTTTTTCCAGACCAGGAAATAATTCCAAGAAGTTTTTGCAGGCAAAAAAAAAAAAGAACATAGGGTGAAGAGAGGAACAAAAAGGGTCTCACCCGGATCATCCGCGGTGAGTCTATTGCACTTAGGTGTAAGTGTGACTTTCGGCTGGTGCAGCAGGGTGATCTGCCATCTTGCAGGCTGATCTTTGCTCCTTCAGCCCTAAGGAGATAGCTGGAGACACAGGGGAAGCTGCCGCCCTCCCCTATCTACCAGCCAGCCTTCTGCTCGGTGGTCGCCCCTCCAGGGCGTCTTTTGACCCCCTAGAGGGTCTACCAGTGAAGGAAACTCCGGACAGTGCAGAGAGCAATCTCCAAGCACGTCCGGCGTCTCCGCGTACCGGAACTGGAAGTCAGCAATCCAATTCTTACCAAAATCCCAAGTGAGAGAGCAGGAAACTAAGAACCTTCTTTAATTATCACCACTATCAGATATTTGCAAGCATCCTGGCTTTCAAGAGAGAAATTCCATTAATTTACCACCATTAAGTTAAACATTAAAACACTTCCTTTTTGTCTTTCATTTAATCCAACGGCTTTCTCTTGAAACTGAGTTATAGCATTAAGGCAACCAACCAATTATAAACCATAAATATCTAATGTGAAGCCAGAAATAGAAAGGCATCATAAACAATATGGCAGTGCATTTTCTGTGAGGCTAGTTTGCATACTACTGTGTTTTCCCGAAAGTTAAGACCTACCCCAAAAATAAGCCCTAGCTTGATTTTGGGGGGTGGATCTAATATAAGCCCTATCCTAAAAATAAGATCTAGTTTTGGAGTGAGGTGCATGCCTAAAAATCAAACTAGGGTGGGGGTATGGGGGTAGAGCTTACCACTGCAGCCAGTCCTCCTATGATCGACACTTGCCTCGCTAGAAGGAGCAACTTCATAGTCAGAGACCTTTCTGGAAGGCCACTGCAGCCAAGAACAGAGCTATAGATGCATAGCTTGGTTCTCAGCTGCAATGGCCTTCCGGAAAGGTCTTTGACTGTGAAATGCAGGCCGGAGCTCCATTCTCAGCTGCAGAACGAAGCTGCTCCTTCAGCCCCAGAAGAAGTGGGCCAGCTGAGCGGGGCTGTCAGTGCTACTGCTGTGAGGTGAGTAGAAAAGACATCCCACCCTACCCCGAAAATAAGACCTGGTGCCTCTTTTGGAGGGAAAAAAAATAAGACCGGGTCTTATTTTTGGGGAAACACGGTAAGACAATATCAGTGATGGCTGATAACAATATTGAGATCTTAAATATGAAAATAGGAAAGACCTTTGTCTTACAAGGAAGTAACAGGAGTAGAGAGAAAGCAGAACTGCTTAACTCATTCTTTGCATCAGTCTTTATACAAAAAAAACTATAGCCCAATCTCTCAAATACATAATGTATTTGTGGAGCTGCCACAAAGAAGAGTGAGTCGACTTATATTTTCTCCAAAATCACCTTTGTGGCTCTTCACACTTTGTTAATTTCAGAGAAAAATTGGAGAGATAATACAGGTAGTCCTTGACTTACAACCATTCATTTAGTGACTTTTTGAAGTTACACCACCAGTCAAAAAACAACTTATGACCAGTTTTCACACTTACCACCATCACAGCATCCCCGTGGTCATGTGATCAAAATCCAGGCACTTGGCAACTGGCATATATTTATGACAATTGCACTGTCTTGGGGTTGTATGATCATCATTTGCAACCTTCCCAGCCAGCTTCTGACAAGCAAAATCAATGGTGGTAGCCAATTTCACTTAACCACTGCATGGCTCACTTAACAAATGGAGTGATTCGCTTAATAACCATGGCCCAAAAGTTTGTAAAATGAGGTCCCACTCACATAATAACTGCCTTGCTTAGCAATGGAAATTTTAAGCTCATTTGTCGTCATGAAGTTGAAGACTACCCGTATGCATAAATTACTTAGAAGGAGGTGTGCAGGAATAGTTCAAGAAAATAAGATACAACTCTGTTTTTTTGGGAGGGGAGATGTGAATAAAAAGTGCAAAATAACTCCATCTTAAGTCTGTGTGCTAGAAGAGGGGAAGTGGGGAAACTATCAGAATTTTAAAAACCTGTTACACCCTACAATAAAGTAGTCTTCCTGGAATTCCTATACAGTCTACTTCTTGACCTGGTTGTAGGAAGGTGTCCAGGAGAAGAAAGAAATGTTTTCTCTAGAAAAGCATGTAAGTGGAGTTATACTGCTGATGCTGTGGGTATGTCTGATGTCGCTCACTCTATTCCAGGTGACTTAGAAAGTTATTGTAACTCCTATCTACATTCCTGAGATGACAAAGGGTTTTAAATTTTCATTTGCTGACAAAAGCATTCAGCTATCAAGGCAATCATGCAGAAAATCAGCATATGTCATAAATATGAGAAAGAGTTAAACATGATGACTATAGTCTCATGAGACAAGGATTGATTAATCTGAAAACTTTAATAAGAATTGTAGAAAGAAATGGAGGTTCATCCAAGCCTTTTAATGTAAAGCAAGATCAGCCTCTACTGTAATAGTGTTTATGGAAAAATGAATTTTAGTGCAATTTGCATATAAGCTGGAATATATAACATATATGTGTTTCATTCAAAATTGAACTCCAAATCACATCAGTTAAATTCCTTAAATCAATCATCCAAACCAATATAATTAATTAATTAATTTAGTGGCGTTAATAACACTGGAAAGTTGAAAAAAAGTAGTTAAAAAAAAGATGAATCACTAGCAGAGACACTTACATGCAAGCATACACACATATAAGAATACCTATCTCAGAAATTGAGACCAAGAAAGTATAAGTTGAAAAATAACCAAGGAAGATGGACACTATCACAATATAGCAACTAATATTGTTGGCAATCACAAAGGTCATACATTTCTTGTAATTGGCCACCAGGTTTGCACACACCTCAGGAGGGATTTTGTCCCTCTCCTCTTTGCAGATCCTCTCCAAGTCATTAAGGTTTCGAGGCTGACATTTGGCAGTTTGAACTTTCAACTCCCTCCACAGATTTTCTATGGCATTAAGATCTGGAGACTGGCTAGGCCAGTGGTGGCAAACCTATGGCACGGGTGCCAGAGGCAGCACTCGGAGCCCTCTCTGTGGACACATGTGCTGTTGCCCCAGCCTCACCTCCCCCCGCGACCCCTCCTCTCCAGCAGCCCCCCTGAAGGAGAGTCACCCCTGAAAGTGGCCCACCCGGAACAGCACAGCCATGGACATGGCAGCCAGGCAGCATAGACAAGACTCTGCCCTCACACCCCATCGTGCACTGTTGATACTGCAGGGCACGGGCAGAGGGCGTGATTGCCACAGCACTGCTGGGCTGCCTGGGCGATCTGCGGCGGGTCCTGGAGGCAGTGAGTGGCCCTGCAGGCAGGCGGGGCAAGAAATGGGGGGCAGAGCAGGGGCGGGGCCAGTTTTTGGGTCTCCAAAAGGTTCGCCATCACTGGGCTAGGCCACTCCAGGACCTTAATCTGCTTCTTCTTAAGCCACTCCTTTGTTGCCTTGGCCATGTGTTTTGGGTCACTGTCATGCTGAAATACCCATTCATGACCCATTTTCAATGTCCTGGTAGAGGGAAAGAGGTTCTCACCCAAGATTTGATGGTACGTGGCCCCGTCCATTGTCCCTTTAATGCGGTGAAATTGTCTTGTCCCCTTAGCAGAAAAACACCCCCAAAGCATAATGTTTCCACCTCCGTGTTTGATGGTGGAAATGGTGTTCTTGGGGTCACAGGCAGCATTCCTCCTCCTCCAAACACGGTGAGTTGAGTTGATGCCAAAGAGCTCGATTTTGGTCTCATCTGATCACAACACTTTCACCCAGTTCTCCTCTGAATCATTCAGATGTTCATTGGCAAATTTCAGATGGGCCTGTACATGTGCTTTCTTGAGCAGGGGCACCTTGCAGGCGTTGCAGGATTTCAGTCCTTCACGGCGTAATGGGTTACTAATTGTTTTCTTGGTGACTATGGTCCCAGCTGCCTTGAGATCATTGATAAGATCCTTCCGTGTAGTTCTGGGCTGATTCTTCACTGTTCTCATGATCACTGAAACTCCACAAGGTGAGATCTTTCATGGAGGCCCAGACCAAGGGAGATTGACAGTTATTTTGTGTTTCTTCCATTTGCAAATAATCATACCAATTGTTGTCACCTTCTCACCAAGCTGCTTGGTGATAGTCTTATAGCCCATTCCAGCCTTGTGTAGGTCTACAATCTTGTCCCTGACATCCTTGGACAGCTCTTTGTTGTTGGCCATGGCGGAGAGTTTGGAATCTGATTGATTGCTTCTGTGGACATGTGTCTTTTATACAGGTAAAAAACTGAGATTAGGAGCACTCCCTTTAAGTTCATTACCTGTATAAAAGACACCTGGGAGCCAGAAATCTTGCTGACTGATAGGGGAATCAAATACTTATTTCACTCATTAAATGCAAATCAATTTATAACTTTTTTGAAATGCATTTTTCTGGATTTTTTGTTGTTATTCTGTCTCTCACCATTAAAATAAACCTACCATTAAAATTATAAACTGATCATTTTTTTTGTCAGTGGACAAATGTACAAAATCAGCAGGGGATCAAATATTTTTCCCTCACTATATATTATTGACAGTTTTAAAAGTACTAAGTCACAATTCTCCGCTTGTTAAACTCTCAGCAGCATTCTCTAATATTAACAATTGCATGTTACTATAGGCATCACAGGATGAAACTAATACAATTGATTCAGGCGTTCACTGAAAATATTTTTTATCTTGACCTTGGAGACAACTGCAGCTAGTGGCCTATTCATCCAGATAGTTTATCTCAACAATTCCCCATGAAAATAGCAGATCAACAAAACTGCTTTTGAGAGTTAACTCCCTAGCTAGGATGAATTCAAAATTGTCTAGGAGCTGGAGGTGCAACAAGTAGAGCCTCTAGTAAGAAAACAAACATGCACTGAGGTTCAATTAGATAAAAGATGAGTTTTATCCATATCTTGAGTAAGAGGGAGAAAAATCAAATGATTTTTTTAAGCATAAAAAGGTGCTATGGTTTTTCAACATGTGTATCACATCAATGCTGATTTGTAGATAACATTGTGTGATTATTGAGGGTTCATGCAGTTGAAGAGATGAGAAACACAGCTGAGTATCATCAGTATATCAATGATATCTCAGTGCATGGTGAGGGATGATCTCACACAACGGCTTCATGTATAGATATTGAACAGAGCAGAGAGAGAGTACCGAGTCCTGGGAGACCCCGCAAAGCAGTGAATGAGGGCTGGATCTCTCACCTCCTATTAACACAACTGAGAGCAGCCACAGAGGAAGGAAGTGAACCAGGATAGCACAAAACCCCCACTCCCAACCCTTGAAGCCGCTCCAGAAGGGATACCATGGTCGATGGTATTGAAAGCCATTGAGAGGTCAAGTAGAGCAAGGATGAATGAGCTATCCCATCCCATTCCCGCCACAGATGATCACAAAGCGTGACCAATGCCATTTCTGTTCCATACCCAGGCCTGAATCCTGACTGGTAGGGAATCTACATAATCTGTTTCATCCTCTGGAGCTGCCGCACAACCACCTTCTCAACAACCTTCCCCAGAAAGAGAAGATTGGAAACAGTCAGAAATTATCCAAAAGGGTGGAATTCAGAGATGGCTTCTTGAGAAGAGGGTGGACCAAAGCCTCCTTAAAGTGCTGGGGCACTACCCCCTCCTGTAAAGAAGCATTAATCACTTCTAGAGTCTGCCCGCACATCACCTCCCGGGAAGCTTTCACAAGATATGGATCTAAAACACAGGTCCTTATGTGCATACTCCCTAGGATCTTGTTCGCTTCCTCAGGAGCAACAGGGTCAAACTATTCCTAGATAACAGGGCAGAATCTGCCCCAGGGGCTTCCACCGGACCAGCAACCATGATGAGTGATTTTGTCTTCCAGAAAATCCGCAAATTCCTCAGCGTGCCCCTTCAAGTGGACCTGCTTCCTCCTTTCCCAGGAGGACGCAGTTCACCTTAAAGAGGGTTGATGGTCAATTATGGTGGCTTAATAATTATAATTTCAACCCCCCCCCATAGATATTTACACATTTTGCCACAAAGTACCGTATATGCCGGCGTATAAGACGACTTCCGGAAGCGCTAAACTCGGCGCCAAAGACGGAGGTCGTCTTATACGCCGGAAATACTGGTAGTTTCCGGCGTATAAGATGACGTTCTAGGAATGCGGCTCGGCGATAAAGACGGGGGTCGTCTTATACGCCGGGTCGCCTAATACACCGGCATATACAGTACATCATATTACATTTTCTTCTGTTAAGGATATTTCTTCTGTTAAGGATATTCCCTGTTAAGGATATGGAATCAAGAAGAAAGGAAAGGGACTCAGGACAGTAGTAATAATAGAAAATAGCTTATTTCCAAGCCCAGCTACACTTTCTAGGATAAAAGGCAATTAAACAGAAATCTGTTGTTCGTAAATACAATAGTTACACAAAAAGACAATCCTACCTTTCTTGATTTTGTTGGATCTCCTTCTGAGTTTTTAATCTGGCTTCCTCCCATGAGAAAGGACAAATGAATTTTTGCAATTGTTCCTTTAAAAAATATACATGTATCTGTCCATCTTTACTAACTGCTTCTAAAAGATGCAAAAAAACACACACAGAACCATCAGGAAATTAACAGCAAGCAGATTTTTTCAAGTTCACCACAATTTATTTATACTTACCGTATTTTCCGGTGTATAAGACGACTTTCTAAACTCTGAAAATCTTTTCAAAAGTCAGGGGTCGTCTTATACGCAGGAATATACGGGTAGCTGTTCTCTGAATTTAAAACCAATCTGCCCCCTAGTGGCTAGCCCTATTTTTTTTACAGAAATAAGCACTAACAGGACAAAGCTTTCTAGCAGCAAAGGAGCTCCTATTGTGCTCATCTATAAACAGAAATTCAACATTGTACTGTATTTTCTGGCGTATAAGATGACTTTCTAAACCCTGAAAATCTTCTCAAAAGTTGGGGGTCGTCTTATACGCTCAGTCGCCTTATACGCCGGAATATACGGTATTTATGCTTATTTATTTACACTGGCCAACTCCCAGTGACTTTATTCTTAAAATGAAAATTGCATCCATTTATATAGAATGCTAACTTAACTAAGCAAGGAGATGAACAACAAATCTATCTTTCCTTTTATTTTACTTTTTTCCTTTTATTTTTCCTTTTATTTTAGTCTATGGGTTTAGTGCAGATATAGAATATGAATTGGAGAGCTTATTTGTTTAACGTTTCTACCCTATCCATCAAATTAAAAGGAAACTTTAGAATACAGGAATTAATAAAAAGTATTTAATATAATATAAAAAGCAATACAAACTTTTACTTCTTCACTTAAAATGAAATGTATAAAGAAATCTGAGTACACTTAACAATTTTTATAGAAAGAATACAGCATATTTTTTCATGTTTTTCATTTTTTTCAGATTTTTTCTTGCACAAAATAAAGTAGAAAAATTAATTAAAAAGAAATGAATAAGCTCGGAATTTTTAATGTAAGTTATTCTTTCAGAAATTTTTATTAACTTATGCTACAAACTAGTTGATTTGACTTTCTCTTAATGGCATAAATACGTTTTTCTCGATGTGAATCCAACTAATATTTGATATTTTAAAAAATATCAGCATCTAAAACAGGTTAAATTAAAAGACTGAAAACATAAAACTTTCTTTATAAAGAAGCACAATGAGACTTTTAGAGCATAAAAGGAATGTCCCCCCCCCCATGAAGCTTCCAGAGTTGCTTCTGAGATTATTTTTAAACTGGGGTGGGACTAGTAAATAATAACTAAGTTTAATATTAAATTTAAATAAGATTGTGTCTCAAGCCCATGCATTTTTATGAATATTAACCTGAAAAGAGTTTTGCACCCGATTATCATAAGCATTTCGCAACCAGAGCATTACTACCAAAAATATTATCTCCAAACTGGTGGTAACACTGAAAGTTCAAGAGTCTTTGAAGCCCTGGTGGGAGAAACATTTGAGAGAAAAAAATCCACTCTGCCATGCACAATTTTATACATCTTGTTCATGTCTCCCCAAATAATGTTTTACTAAACAAAACAAAAAATAAAACTTTTTCTAAAGTATAGGGTTCCAAAACTAATATATCAAATACAATATAAGAAGAAATCGGTAACAAAACTGAAAAATAATTGCTCAAAGAATCTTTATTACCTGGTGCTATTGAAAGGTGAGGAGGGTTCCAGTCTCTCAATTTATGGTTAATGCACAGTGCCAAGATATGATCCCAAGGAATTTCCCAAACAGAAGGGCCATCTTTTTCTGTGTTGGCATGTTTCTGGTCCTTCCACTTCAAGTAAGTATTGCTCAACACATTTTCTACCTGAGATTGGAGTATTTCCTGGGTCTGAAGAGAGCTAGCCGTTTGGGACACATACTGGAAAATCATGGCACAAACAGGAAGCCAGGGAGCTAGGAGAAGGGGAGTAGAAAAACATTTATTTTACTATGCCAAATTATGGGGAAATCAGTTCTTGTTTTACATCCCAATTTTATTCAGATAAAATGTCTACAAGAAATCTGAGAATGGCCCAGCCTAATCAATGGCAATTCCTTCAAGACACATTAACCCTTGCCTGCTTATTCAATTTTAAATCTGTATGCACATTAAAATTGCGATTGCCCTTAAATAGAGGTTCTTACCACCGAAAGGAGGAAGATCCATTTGAGGAATCTGAAAGGACAGCAGAGCCTTCTTTAGCCATGCAAGATGGCTGGGTTTGTTCCACTGGAGGTGGGGAAGCCACCTGTTGCCTCCAGCCTCTGCAAATTCAGTTACAGGCCAGGACAAATCCCTGAGATCTTCCGAAGAGGCAACTTCAGCCAGGAACTGTATCATACTGTTGTATAGCTCTATTATGATGCTAGGGTCTTGAGAGGGTAACCCAGCCTTATGTCTCTCCCACTTATCTTGGTAGAAAGCCTGGGTGAAATTATATTGAAGGCCATCTTCAAGGTATTGCATGATGGTTTGGCAGCAAAGTTTGATAGATTGTGGACACTGAGAGACCAGCCACTGTACTGCCTCAGAGAGCTGTGGTTAAAAGCAGAGACAAAAAATTCACAACCTGACAAGAGAAAAGGTAAAGTGCAATCCTGTGTCAAATCCTTCCCAGATTAAGATTCTTGCTTAGACTGAAACATTTTAGTCCACCTCTTATTTTGTACTATTTTGTTATTAGATTTATATTTGTTTAGAAAGTCAAGGCACCATACACAGCAATTCCTTCTCCCATTCCCCACTCCCAACAGCAACATTTTGAAGTAGCTGGACTGACAGAATGACTGTCAGTAATGGCTCAAGTCAGTAAGTCACTTTCCATGACTGAGGGTGGATTTCAACTTGGGTCTCCCCAATACCAGTCCACTGGCATTAGTACTACACCATTATTTTTAGATCTAACAAAAAAGTCAACCTTTTAGCCAACATCTTAGACTTTTGTTCCCATGAAGAATGGAGCAGAAGTCATTATGCTGACCTGATCATTTCTAATATTGTCTAGAGCCGTGGTGGCAAACCTATGGCACACGTGCCACATGCATCAAGCAGAGCCCTCTCTGTAGGCACGTGCGCCATCACCCAGTCCTAGGCTTTCAGTCCCGTCCAGGAGCAACATGCATCAAAATCTCCCCGGGCAAGTGGCTTTTTCAACTGGATATTATAAAACCTTTTTGCTTTAGCCTCCGCCACCATGTACAAAAAAAAAAAAAGTTCAATCGATCAATTTCAACTCTCGCAAAATTGGAATTGATTGATCGAACTTTATTTTTAGTCCCACACAGTGGCGGAGGAAGTGACGTGATGGAGCTGGAAAGAAGGTGCCACTTTGGGGTGGGGAGGAGCAGCAGTAGCAGGGCACTCCATGCGGGGGGGGGGCAATGGTAGCAGGCCATTCCGTGCAGGGAGTGGAGCAGAGCGGCAAGAGTAGGCACTCCGTGCGAGGGGTGGGGTGGGGTAGCAATGCGGCGGTGCTAGCGTGGTGGTAGACCAGTTGCTTCCCTCCCCCTGCCAGACATTTGCCGAAGCCAAGCAACGTAAGGTTGCCGCGCCCACCCCCGCCCAGATGCCCTCGCCTCCCCCAAGCAGTTTTTTTAAAAAATATATTTTATGGGTTTTTTTTAAAAAAAAACAAAACATGTCAATAATTGGTGAACAGTGTGTTGTCTGGGTTACATTTATAAAACAATCATTAACAATTAATTTCTATAATCCATATTCCACATATTAATTTTAGTTGATTTCCTCTTTCCCTAAAGTAACCTCTTTTGCAAACATTGAGTTAATACAATTCTTATTGTTTTGATAAATAACAATTGAATGTATAATTTTTTTCCAATATTCCTAAAAATAATAATCATATTAGTATAATATTACTTTTCTATTCAATCATTCTGGTTGCCTTATCGTACTTCATGTTAGAATCCTTATTTTAGTTTATTTTTCCCATCAAATTCTAGATACTCTTACTGGTGAAGATTTTCTCAAAAATTAATTACATTTACATTTACAAATTTAACTCTATTTTTTCCATATAAGCCATCTCACACTACATTTCTTAAGAAATAGATAAAACAATGAAAAGAAAAAAAGCAAGAAGAGAAGAGAAAAAGAAAGGAAAACAAGTGTAAAGAAACGTAAGAAATAACATACTACTTAAAATATATATCTCTCCTAGACTAATATATATTTATTTCCTTAATTTCTTATTCATTTTAACCATAATTAAGAATATATTTAATCTTTAATCTTTAAACATTCCATTCAATACATTTAGTCATCTAGTCCTTTAACTCTTATTCAAAACATTTTTTTATAATTTTCTTAAATTCAGTCACATTTAAGTATCTAAAACATTTCCTTTATTTAAATCATTTCAACTTTTTTATATTACTCATATCAAGAAAAAGAACAGAGAAGAGGAAAAAGCATACTATATTGTTTAGAGAATTCATCCCTCTTAAAATAGTATATTCCAAAATTTTTCTATTTCTTTAACCATATTCAAACAAATTCAAATTCTATTCTTTTTTAAGTATTCTCTCTGATAAGTCCCATCATCTATTTTCTTGGTTTCCACCTTAATCTTTTTCCTTTTCCCAGTATCTTTCTTAATCAATGTATTTTGCTGAATCAAAAGGTTTTTTCATATGTTCACAAATGTTGCTGTAAATACAAAAAGTAAATCAGTATCTTTGTTAGGGGCATTTGCCCACTCCTTTTTATTTGGAATCTATTTCCTTCTTTTTCTCCCTGCTTTTCTTATTCCTTTTTGTCTCTTCAATTCTGGTGTTTTTCCTGATGTCTCTGTAGCACGTTTTATCCACTCTTTTTTCTTGTCCTCAAGTTTATTTTGTAGTGTTGAAATATGTCTTTTTCAAATCTTGTATTTCTTGTAATTTTTTTTCCACTTGAATTAGATCATACTCCTTTGTTTTGTAGAATTTCATCTTCAAGTCTCTATCCTCGAATTTATGTTCAGTCATCTGTTTTGTCTGTTCCTTCTCTGCTGTATTTTCCTGAGGGGTTTTTTGGTATAAAATTGAATTGGAGATGAGTTGATTTACATTTTCGAGGTTATTCTGAGTTTCTTTGTGATTTGAAATCATTGTTCTTTGAATTAGTTGCAACTTAACATATCTCCTCTTGAAAAATATTCATTTTTTCTTGATAAGTATTTCCTATAAATCTCTGATTTTCCATGATGACCAAAAGTCCAGATTTTTTTTCTCCCCCCTCCCTTGGAAATAGCTTTGGAGTCAGAATTGAATGAATAGTTATAGTCCAGAGAATTTAAAAAAACAGTTCTTTTTTTGTTTTGTTTTTGTTCCTTCAGCTGTTCTTTGTTTTTAAAGCTTTGAAGGTCACAGGCAAATTAGTTTTCCCCTCAGATTTCACCATGACTGTCATAATCCTCATCCACCAGTAGGTGTCAGCACTGGTTCATTTTTCAGATTTTATTCCTCCATGAAAGGTTCTATTCGCTGCTTCTGTTAGCAAAAGGGTGAGGCAAAAAACATCCCTCCCTTCACTCTCGAAGGTTTTTGTTTTGTTTTGTTTTGTTTTTTTGCTTCTTGGGAGTTTCTCCCCTTCAGGAAAGTAGGTAGAATAGAGAAAATCAATGTTCTTACCTAGAGTCAAGCACACTATTTATGATCAGCTTAAAATAGTGCTTTTGACTTCCGTTGCTTGCAGCTTGGGCTGGACTCTGAAGTTAAGCCAGCCTTTCTCCTGTTGGTTTCTGGAAGGCTTCTCCTGGACTGATCAGGTCAACCGCTGTCTCTCCTAGGTCCCTGGGACTTCCTTCCTTCATTGCCACCTCTCTGGGGTGGCTTCTGGCCCATTTAGGGTCCACTAACAGGAAGAAACTCAGCTGGAGGGCTCAGAATCCCGAATCCCTCAACTGCTTCACTGGGTGAAGGAATCGGAAGTTCCCAAGCATTTTTTTTACTAACCTGCCTTTCAGCTGCTCCGTTCACCTTCACTGCTGAGAAGATCTCGTGAGAAGTTAGAAAGTCTGATGGAACTTTTTTTTTAACCGATAGTCCCACAAACACGCGGCAAAGGCTGAGAAGTGAATGGAGAAATGGAATGCAGCTAAAAGGCAGGTTAGTAAAAAAATGCTTGGGGGAGGCGAGGACATCTGGGCGAGGTCAGGCACGGCATCTTTACCCTGCATGGTGGTGGGAGGGTAGGGCGTGTGCCCTTCCCGTGACAGGCCAGCCGCTGCAGCCCCAGGGTGGCCGTGCTGGGCAGCGGTGGGCAGGGGGTTGAGGTGGGGGTTGGCAGGCTGACCAAAGCAGCAGGTGGAGCGCCAGAGGCTCAGGGAGGGACGGTGCTGAAATGGGCGGTCAGGCCATTGGCAAGAGCAACGCAGTTGAGAGGAAAGCGGCCTCTGAAAAGTGTGACAGGTAAGGAAGCTGGGAGCTTGACATGCAAACGGGGACGGGGGGAAGTGGACGGCAACCTACCGACCCTGGCAACCGTCGAGCGGCTCGGTGGAACACTCGGTAATCGGCCCCGGCTGGGATACATGGCGGCCCCGCCTCCCCGCGCAGCCGCACTGACGAGAGCAGCCGCCGAGCAGGAGACGGGCCGGGATGGTCCCAACGGACGGCTGGCGGCGGCCCCGCCTCCCCGCGCAGCCGCACAGACGGGAACAGACGCCAAGCAGGGTACGGGCCGGGGAAGCCCCAACGAATGGCTGGCGGCGGCAGAGCCGGGATTCCCCGCAGCACAGCTGATGCCGACCACCCCGGGAGCCCCCGAATGGCCGGCGAGGCAGACACCATGGACTGGGGACCTACCGAGGGCTCCAGCAGGGTTGGCAGGGGGGGGTTGCTTACCTGACAGGGGGCCCAGTAGGCAGGGAAAGTGCGGCGACGGGAAGGCGGCGCGCAGGCTGGACACACGAGCAGGGGGGTGTGGGGGCAGGGCTCCGTCGGCGAAAGGGAGAGCACAGGAACAGGGTGGGACATTTATCCAATGTGAGCGGATGTCGGCTTGGACCTGGGGGCGGGAACACGGGGCGTGGCACATAGATATAAGACGCTGGGAGGAAACCACTCCCAGTGCTGACTTTATTCTAGTTTCACAATAAAGTGATCGGTGAGTTCAATGTGTACCGGCGTTCCTGTTGTTCTACCTCTCGGACGACACCGGATACATTTGACAGTAAGTCAGCACTCTCCATTTCGTTATCCGGCTCTGTGCCTGCAGAGGAGGTGAGATGGCGGAGGGCACGCAGGGCCTTTCCCCGGCCGAGGGGGAAGTGGAGGATGGAGCTGGGGGTGAGGCCGTGCCAGCGCTGGACCAGACGGTTGAGCAGCCTGTGGTACGGCCGAAGCTGCTGTTGGCAGCGAACCCGGGCCCCGGAGTGGACGAGACAGGGGCTGCGAAGTCACAGGAGGAGTGGTGGCACAGCCCGGCGTTGGCCGGGGTGCAGACCGGCCAGCCCCTGACGCCTAAGCCAAAGCCCGGCCACTCGGAATGGAGAGAGAGGCGTGTCACCTCCGAGGATGATGAGGACTGGAGCT